TCGCGGCTGGGACCCGCTGCTGCAGGGATACGTACCAAGTGGAAGTACTTCTCAGTGTCCAAATCCTTCACTGCAAAGAAAAAGAGACAGAGACAGCTGCTCACTTGGGGCATCCGAACTGAAACTGCCTCCGCAGACACCCTCCGTGTCCGGAGGTGTTTCCTATTCCCCAAGAAGCCCAACACCGAGCTGGCATTCCCATCCCAGGTGACCTCAGCGGTTTAATTTGTTTTGGTGTTGTTTATTGCCTTCTGGGGCACATGGTAAGTACTTCAGGCAGTATTTTGAGGAGGACTCGAGGTCTCCCAAGGGGTGTCTTACAAGGGACCCAAGAGGGTACAAGAGCAGGACCAGCATTGGGGCACTCCTATACCATGACGTCCTGCATCGTATTGTCCTGAGAAGCCCTGTCACGTTCTGCGATGCTATGCAACGTCCTGTTCTGCTGCGTGATGCCCCAACATCCCCCCGAGTCCCACGTGCCCTGGGCCATCTCCCAGGCTCATCATCAGGGCAGCTGCAGCTCCGAGTAGCTGCTCACTCCAGAGAGAGGAATCTCACTGCAGAGACAGGCTTGGTGCAGGCAGCCAGCACACGGCATTTGAAACTCCTTGTTCAGTGTGAATTTTTGTCTCTGGTCTGTTTTGACTCTCTGAAACGTAGAGACACACTGGCAAGAAAGTGAGCATTTGTAACTGGGACGGAAAGGGATTTTCCAGTCAATCAGTCTCAGATGCTTCCCTTTTTTCACCTTGTTAGCACAGATTGGATGCAAACCCCTAATGAGGATGTGAGAAGAAAGGTGCAAACATCTTAAGGGCTGGGAAAGCACTCAGCACCCCAGCAAAGCTGAGAGAGGAAGATACCGGGTAACACATTTCTAAATCCCCAGTATGACACTCGCATCTCCTGCAATGTGCATATCACAAATGTATGCAGCCCAGACCTTCTTCACATCTCTTACAGAAGGAAAAGTCGGCGTGAACCTCCAGCCTGCAAGTAACATAGACAAGCCTTAAAAGTTAGGAGGGGTGTGGAAGCCACCCGCTCTTCAGGCTGAGTCCCAGGCTCTCAGAGGTCTGCGACCTCCCGAGCGGCCAATGCAGGTTTGACCAGTCGACGTGCCCCGCTCTGGCCAGGGCTCCCTGCCCACCCAGCGGGGGAGCACTCTATGAAGGGCAGCCCAGCAGTAGCCGACATGGACGCCCTTGTGCCAGGCCCTTACGGCCTCATCCAGCCACGGGCCAGCATGCCTGCTCTGCCCACGCCCTGCAGAAACTCTGCCCCCAGCTCCCCGCGTCCCTCTTCCCCCCAGGTGACGGCCGTGGTTCAGTTAGTGCCACCACGCACGGCAGTCATTAAAGCTCTAAGTGTCTCCACGTCACCAGTCTGTCTCGCCCCTGGTGCCACATGGGACCGCTGCGCTGCCGCTGCTGGTGTGGCAGGACTCAGACCTGAGGGTGCTCTGCGAGTGCTGGCAACACCAGAGCCAGCCCCGCATGGGCTACCAGCACACCCCAACGCCCAGGCGAGGCGGCTGGCACCTGGCTCCCAGCACCCCTGCCCAGAGACACCCCTCTAACACCGCAGGTGCTTCTGCCCGGTCACAGCAATGGGCGCAGAGAAGCGAGGCGTTACCTCTGCTCAGCGTGGTGTCCTTCTTGTCCGACAAACTCATGGCCAGCGACGCCCCTTCAGGGATCTGCGGAGGAAAGGAAGAGCAGACGTTATAATAGGGGCCTTAAAGGTGCCTCCCATGGAGCTGAAGATGGCCCTGGGGGGATCCCACGAGCAGGGGGACACTGGTGCAGTCACTGCTCCACCACAAACTGTGTCTGCCCTGACGCTGCTCCCCGTCTTGGCAGTAATGGCACTGCCCAACACAGAAAGAGTTCTTTAAATGCAGATACAAGGTAGTGAGGTCCTCAAATCCAAGGAGAATCCGCTAAATACACGTGCCCAAGATACAGTTTTAGACGCCGATGCCAGGCAATCCGAAGAGGAGAGCGCTGCGCTGTGCAGGTGCTGCTTTGCTTTTGCCCAGACCTGCGGGGCTGGCACCTCCATGTTGCCTCGGGCTCTCAGTGCACCAGGCCAGCAGCGGGGCTCTGCGGCACAGTGCTTATCGAAATAAGGATATATTAATAAGTACTCAGCTCCGCTTTTGATTTTCCATGCACTGTTACAGACCAGTGAGGATTATGCTCCCAGGCTTAGCAGGGAATATGGAAATCATGTAAGAATTTCTGGTTTCATTTAATTTTAAAAGGAACAACGGTCAAGAAAATAATTTGATTCCCCTCATTTCCCCATATTTTTGGCTTCTGCTCCTTGATGGCAACCCTAGCCCCTGCCCTCAGGGCAGGCAGTGACAATTGTGGCAGCGATTTCAGCAGAACGGATCAAGAGTAGAGTGATACTAATCAGCCAGGCTGGTGGCCGTTGGGAATAGGAGCTTTTTTTCCTCCTCTTTCTGTTGTCAGTAATAACTTGTTTTGCATGAAGAGTGTTTAATTAGTTTCAGTGTGTTGCAATATTAACGAGCTTCTCGCCAGGGCAGATGTCTATTCCCCGGAAGCTCTCACGGAGCTATGGCAACCTCTCTGCTTGTTCCTGATGATCCTGTTTTTGGAGGGGGAACCACAGCTCGCCCCCGAGGCCAGGCAGGCTCCGAGGAGGCAAAACTTTCTTGTGGCACTGGTGGGTTTTGTACCTTGTAATGCGCTAACGTGTTGAGCTTCTTCCTGCCATCCTCCACCACCGAGGTGTCATCGAGGTCCCGGAGGATGTAGCTGTCGGTGCTGGTGGCGAACCACTCTGAACAGAGAGGAGAGAGACGTGAGACACCAGCCCGAGGGAGGCAAGTGTTGCGGGGCCGGGGGCTACGGGCACCGGCCCCACAGGGCTCAGGAGCTGCTCAGCCCCCTGCCAAGGCTCTGTGAAACCAGAGCTCACTTCCCTGTGGGGGTGCCGGAGCCCTGGCCCAGGCTGCCCAGAGAGGGTGTGGGGTCTCCTGCTCTGGAGACTTTCCAACCCACCTGGACGTGTTCCTGTGGGGCTGCCCTGGGTGACCCTGCTCTGGCAGGGGGTGGCACTGGGGGATCTCTGGAGGTCCCTTCCAACCCTCAACATTCTGTGATTCTGTGATTAGGAATGGCTTCAGGCTTTGCCACTGGAGTGGGAACTTCCAGACTAGAGCAGACCTGGATGTTGCTGGGACCAGCCCAAGGGACGCCACATGCACCAGCTGAGGAGAGGGCCCCACCACTGCTCCAGCCCAGGCCATTCCTCTGTGGAGAGTCTCTCGGGCGCTGACTATGAATGTCACACCTTGCGATCGCTGCCAGCCAGGCTGCACCTCCATGGCCCGCTGCAGGGCACAGAGGCACCACAGACACCATGGGTTTCTCTTACCAGCAAGCATTCGGCTTGCACCTTTCTTAAATTTTGGGAGAAGGAGTTGGTGACTGGGTTGACAAATGACAGATCTGAATCTATGGCTGGACAGGAGCCCACAGGCTCAGTTAGAGCTGCTTGTGGAGAGACATGTATTAACAAGCCATCTGCAGGCACAGGGGGATGTTAGAGGGTGCTTGTTCTGGAGTTCAGGCTACGGGCTTTAAAGGGGTCAAGTCCAATCATGCTCCACTTGGGCTTCCCTAAAGGTTCTTTCCAGTTACGTGCCCAGCTATTCCTGCCCACCAGTACCTGGTCCCATCACTCATTCCTGAAGAGTATCCTCAGGAAAAGGCTGCCCTGATGTCTCCCCTCTTGTCAGTGCAGCTTCACCTGCTGCCACCAAGAGCTACTGTGCAACATCAGGTGCTTCATCAGATTTTAAGGACTGGCTGGTCCAATGCACCTTGTCCTTACCAAGGTCAACATCTTCCACCCTTGGCCACTGGGAATAGGGGACGTTCTTGCAGAAAGCCTCCAGAATCTTCTCCTTCACTTGGCTGAGCGTGTCTGTGTCCATGGCCCTGACACTCAGGGAGTCCATCCCGCAGCCTTGGAAGGAGACGTTGAGGTTCTGCAGACAGAGTTTGAGTTAGGGGTGCCCTGCCCGGTTCTGCCGGCTCCCATGGAGCAGCTCTCACTGGTGCACTCTGGGCCTCGTGCTGCTGGAAATCAGGCTGAACAAATGTGGTCATCTAGGCTCCAGCGCTAGTGAGAGGCTCTGATTTACAGCCCCGGGAGGCTGAAGGCCCCTGTTTGTTGATGGAGCTGGGAGGACACAGGGAGCGACACCGCAGCCTCCGCTCATGCTGCCTCGCTAATGGGCCTTAGCTCTGACGTGCAGAGGAGGGGGCGGGAGGAGAGGTCCGCCCCCATAACCAGTCACCTCCTCAGCTTCTCGGCTCTGACCGGTGACTAATGGGACCGCCAAGGCTCATTGCTCAGCCCCTCCCTGATGCAACGGGCTGAGCCCCTCTGTCTGAACAAGCTTTAAGCATGTGGCAGGCTGGGTCTGCTGCCAGCACTAGGGTCTCCCACCGGCACCCCTAGGAACCTCCTCGACAGCGTATGGCACAGAGGGACAAGGGGCTGGGGGCGGGACCAGCCTGGACCTGGGGGATGCACATACACCACTACAGTTGCAGCAGAAAGCTGCAGGGCAATGAGAGCAACTCTCTGCCTATAAAAATTCCTCTCCTCTTTTCGGGAGCAGTTGCCACACCAGGCAAGGAGAGGCAGTGCCCAGATGCCTCCTCCTCTCTCAGTTGTGCAGACCCAAACGCTGCAAGCGCGGCATCTCCCTCTCACCCAGGGGCTTCACTCTGGGACAGCCCCAGCCTTGCCCCAGACCTGCCTCTGCTTGTGTCCTAAACCCGAGGGCAATGCTGCACCTTTGTTTGGTGGTGAATGTCACCCTGACCCCATCGCCCCGCCTGACCGGCAAGCGCAAGGCAGGGGCCGCTGATGCTAGGAGCATTGCTTGTGCACAAGCACAGCTGCCTCGCAGAAGGACCCTGGTACACGAGAGCTGGGATTTTTCACAGCCTAGGGGTTCCTTTGCAAACACTGCTTTTTGGTGTCAGCAGCCTCGCCTGTGAACACTGTGAATGCACAGGTGAAGTCCAGTTTTATCCACACCATTTAATGAGGGTGTTATTTCACGTTGTACACTATGCAGGTGCTCTGTAATGTGGAGGTTCAGTTACCGGCAATGTGGGGGATTGCCGGGCAGTTAGCACTAACCCTGCAGTTGCTCTCCTTCCTGCAACATACTTTGTTCATACTTTTCTTTCTCTTCTTGCAAAGTAGAGAGCAGCCGCACTTTCCCTGCTCTGACTTATGAAGTTACCATTTCTGCCGCGAAAGCTAATACTCTGCGCCCTGCTGGTAACCCCTCTTGGTCTGCACCGTAGATTTATAGGTCAATTGGTAACAGGAATCTGCAGAGGATGCGGAGCATGAACCTGCTCTGAGTTACGGCGATGTGCATTTGGGGTAACCTACTGATTTCAGCGAAGCTGCTCCAGATTTATGCCAGGTAATTGAAAGCAGGATTTGACCCAGGCTCTGGAGAGGCATCTGCTGAATTGTGTGTCAGACACCGGAGGGAGCTGAGCCCTTCACACGCACAGCCCTTGTCCGCCCTGGTCCCAGGGCAGGTGTTTTGCAGAACCGCTTCTCAGCACCACTCCTGTAACAGCCTGCATCCCGGGACTCGGGTTTGCAGCAGCATCCTTCCACAGCCGGCGAGGATGCTCGTTTGTTGGGAACTGTAAACCTGTTATTTTAACTTTGAATATGGCACAGTAAATTCTCCTACCTCCCTCTGCCTCTGATCTGAGCTACCTAGGTGACCCACCACAGGACGGACATGGAAACAGTCATTACAAGCCTTATTTTGTGGCTGTGAGCTCAGGCAGTGGCAGGGTGTCTGCACAGGGTGTAATCCACGTGGTTATCCCACCCGCACAGGTACCGAATTGGCCTCTTGCACAACTGCCCTGCTGGGGGCTGCACCCGTCGGACCCCCGGGGTGTGGGT